TAATTATTTAACTGGAAAACAGATTGTAAAATAATGTTACTTTAGAGGTTTTTAATAACTTTATATTTTACACTTAGACCTTTGGATCAGTGACATTAAGTTACGTTTAAATATTTTTTTTTTTGTGCAACGGTTTAAATCTAATTCATTGTAAAATTATTTTTAAAAAATAACTTTATATTTTAAAAAACATTACAAAATTTAAATTATATCAAATTATATAATATTAACTATTAAATATAAATTAAACATTCAATATAAAAAAGCGTTAACTCTTATTTAATAACCCTTATTTGCAATTCAATAAAATCCATATTATAATATAAGATTCTAATTTATTTTTATGGTTGTCGACTTGTAGTAATGTTTTCCTTTCTGTTAAATTTTTGGACCCACATGTTATTCAAATCTTGAATTTTAAAAAGGGAAACAACGCTCTTCGCCACTTCCACACGCTTTTGAAGGACAGTGGATGAATGCTGCATTTACGAATACTGGACTCAAGGTGAACAGACCATCTGGGGGCAGATGGCATTGTCTCTTGCTTATAACAAGAATGTTCATATAAAAAATTTTTTAACAGTTGTTTAGTTATATGGAAACATCATCTTCTAAATTAATTTTAAATTGATATTAATTGTTTTATTAATTATTAATTAATTATAATTATAGCCATCAATTATTAAAACAATTTTTTTATAGACAAATAGAAATTATATTTATAATATAAATTTTTTGAACAATTCATACAAAATAAGAGAAAATAGATCTCATAAGTATCAATTCAAATTCCGCTTAAATTCATCACAATAAGATTTTTACATAATATAATGAAACAATGAAAACTATAAGAATTTTAACTTTTATACAATTCCTAAAAACATCAATTTTAATAACTAATTGAGGTGACTATGTAAAATGATTAACTTTTTGTCTTAAAAAATACTTTCAAATTTTGATATTATAGATTCTTAATAAATACTAGATATAATAAATAAAGTAATTGATAATAACAAATTAATTGTAACAAAATCTCTATTAAAAATTTCAAAAAAAATAGAGATTCTTATTAAAAATCTAAAAAAATAAAAACATTTGAACGCAAAACAACTACATAAATCTTAAAGTAACAAAATATACCTAAAAATCTGCGTCCAAGAAAGGAGAAAAGAGATAGGCTAGGGTTCTTTTAAAAAAAAAATTATTAGAAACAATTAAACCAGATAGAGCTAATAAGAACCGGATCTTATGGCTCAATGGATCAACCTTAAACTTTTAATTGTTTGGGTGAGGTGTTCGGAGTTTCGAGCTCCATTACCATCGTGAACTCCACCAAAAAGTGGTTTGATGGCCGCGCGCCTCATTTGAAGGGGTAGAATGTTGACTCGATCTGAGAACCAATTACTAATAATTAACTTACTAACTTCCTAACTATTACCCTTGTCAAAAAAAAAAGAAAAAGAAAAAAGATAGAGCTAATAAAAGAAAATGACGCATTCTCCTATTGTGGTCTAGTGGTGTCATTACAGTTTAAAAGTATTGTTAGTGGAATGTATCCCGATCAATGATCGGATTCTATCCAATAATAAGGTAATAACTTCTAACTACTAATTCTTAATAATCGTTTTTGAAAAAGAAAAAAAAAAAAAAGAAAATGGCACGTTATGATGGCAAGTTGCTTGATTATGATATGACCTCTTTTGTACCAAAATTCGCCCTTTTTTCTCTTATGTCAAAAAGCAAAAAGAGAAGCAAGACAAATTGCTTTTTTATACCAAATTCTAAATTCATACAAAAAAAAAAAAAAAAAAAAACAACAAAGTTTCACCTTTCACGTTCTTTTTGGTAAAGAGTAGCAATTAAAGTTGAAAAAGCCTAAGAATAATAAAATATACCAAAAGCGTTATTTCTCAAAAAATATATATAAATATAGCAAAAGCTTTATGCGTTTTGCTTTCCTCTTAGTTTCGCCAAATAAAAACAAAGTACGTATTTTATTAAGATTTTGGTATATTCTGCCTTTCTGTTGTCAATTTGGCATGGACACGCAAAAAATGAAAAGGTAGCAAGTAAAGGCAAGGACTAATCGGTAATTCATTATTTAGGTAGGTTGGTTCTCTTTCTTCTCTTTGATACTGTTGCTTGATCGGCGGCGACCTGTAATGTACACATTCCAACGGCCGGCAACAAAAATTGACGGTGGAACAGGGTGGCGCACACAGAGACCGAGATTTGCCACGTGTGTTTTCCTCAGGCGACCAGTTCTAACTTCGACGTGAATCACGGGTGTTACTAGCTCCTGTGTCATTCTGTCTTTTGGCTATGTTGCCACCGCCCCTTACCCTGCGGTTTCCAGTTTCCACAGACGCTGATGTTTTCTTTTCTCTTTTGCTCCATTTTTGCATAATGAGAGACATTTTATGCAATCATCTCCCCTTATTACTTACTTTAAGGAGAAATAGATTATCATTATTGAGACATAAAATTAAAATTATTACCAACACCAAGCCCATAATGCTTGGGAAAAAGTGTGGGTCAAGCTCATGTTAGTAAATTTAATTATAATATTATAGCATGTAGAATTATAAGTTTATAATTGCAATATGCTATTAAATAAATACATATATAATATAAATAAAATTTTAAATATAAATAATTAATTATATAATTATATATAATTATAAACTTATAATATTATAAATATTATAGTTATATTATTTTTATAATTTTAATTCAACTAAAATTAATAGAAAGGGAAATATATCATCTTGAGTCTTTTAATAAAGATATGCAAATTCATTCATTAAAGCTACAAATAACTCATAATAATAATGAAATATTAGACACTATAGAGTAATAAAACTAAGAAAAGAAGGAACAAACATACAAGTGGACTGGTTATATCATCACCTTCAAATCAATTGTATCAAATACAAAGTGACAAAAAAACTATAGAGAAAGACTAATATTTTAAAGCAATTACAAACCTCAAATCGTGCTTCATTCCCTAATGCCAAACACCAATGAAGAGTTGTTTTCAAGAAAGTAATGAAAACAAGCACATCTCTAGCTGTAAAAGTTCTCTTAAAACTTATAAATTTATCTCATAAGAAAAACATAAATTTATAACTAATATAAAACAAGAAACATAGGGACAAAAATGATAGATAGCCCTCACATATGTAATTCGGGGAACTTTTAATCTCAAATTTGAAAAATAATCTCATGGAATAAAAAGTGTTAACTTTAAGCGCTTATTTGGTTAGAAGATTACTTAATTCTAAAAGTTTTTATTGAAAAAATAATTAAAAAAGTATTGTACGAAAAGTTAATAAATACTATACAGAAAGTTAATAAATTTGTGATGGAATAGTTAGGGAGAAATTGATACAAGGAAAGTTAATAACTTTTTTATATTTAATAAGAAATTGATACTAGAAAAGTTGATAAAAAAGTTATCACGTGTTTCAACATGGGGATGGTTAGGGAGAACCTTTTTTTTTTTCAAAAAGTATGAGAATAAAAGTTTATGAATTGGGATTGTATTAAAGAAAATAAATGCTAAAAGTATCATTTTTATCCTCATTTTGTTATAATATTAATATGTAAAAATATGTAAATAGTCTTGTAAAGTAAAAAAATTTTAAAAAGTTTAAGGAATAAAGTTTCCCCAAACCAAGCACCCCCTAATAGGCAATTAAAAATAATGGAAAAATGCTAAGGGTGTGTTTGGTTTAGTTAAGTCTATTAGTTTATAGCATTTTTGCTTAAATAGTTGGTTAGAGTGTTTAGAAATATTAAGCTATAACCTGATTTTAAACTAAAAAATAAGTTATTTTATCAATTACCAACTAATAATAACAATCAAATTAACTATAGCCAAAAAATAGCTTTTTAATTTTTTCTTTTACATTCCATCTAAAAATATTTTTAACTTGTTACCTTCAATAATTAATGGTCCGTAGTTTGGTCTATCCTACGTATACATTGCTCAAATTACATTTAGATTATGTTTGGGGTTGTTACTAAATATTGTAATTATAGTTTTTTTAGTATTTTATTATATAAAAAATTATATCATTATTTTAAAAATTTTATACATTGATACAACTATTAAATTATATAAAATATTAATTAAAATTAATTTGATCATAATAAATTAATATTTTTATGATATGTTTGAAAAATACATATATTATAAAAAACCAACCTTCAATACAACCTTAGTCGATTACCAAAAGCCCCTTCTTATTACTTGGATTTAAAAATGCATTCACACAAACCACATAGAACTAAAGGCAATTTGACCTTTAAAATAATCTGTATTAGCCTAACCTCATCACTTCAAATTCCCAAACAGAGAGATTATATAGAAGGCAAAGAAACATTATAACTTATTAAATTGTTTTAGAATTTAACACTATAAATTACAAAATATCAGATACTCCTAGAAACTTTATACATTGATCAATTCAACTATTCAAGGCCATTCCTATAAATTTCCCTTGTAAAAAGCTCACCCATGTCCCTTTTTTTTTTTTTTCGTAATTATTATTTAAATTAATATTAAAAAACATTCTAATTACTTAGTGAGCATTATTTTTATTAAAAATTTCTCATATAAATTTAGAATTACAGTTAATTAACATTAACCTCCCTGAAGCAATATCCAGTCGCGACAAGGAGCAGCGTGTGGGGACGCTGGAACCCCCAAAAATTTGCCAAGATTTTATTATGATATGACAAGGCTAAAAACAAATTCTTAACGACATTGGGTCTGTGAAAGGGAAAGAGAAAAGCTTTTATCCCTTTCATTTCCTGTGTAATCAGCTCACCTCATCTTTTTACCAGATTGCGATAATTGTAAAAAGAATCTCAACACCAACACCAGTTCTATGATTCAAATCCCAATAATGTCCAAAAATGTCTCTATGTCAGATGCTTTTGACTTCTTCTGTTCCTTCTCCTTCTCCCCTTTCCTTCCATCTTCTTGATCATCCTCTTTGGTGCTCAAGCATGGTGGTTTCAGTTCTGTTTCAGAGGTGAAGGGAAAGCGTGAGGTGGGATTTTTCACTCTTTACTGGAATGTCCTACTGGGGTTGCCCTGTTTATGCTTTCTGAACTACCATTCTCTTTCCTCCTACTATTCCCTCCATTCCCTCCTTTCTTCCCCACCCCACCATGTCCTTCTTTTGCTCTCTGGTACCCATCTTACCCAACTATCTTTCAGGAAAAACAACAAAGTCCTCTTCTTTTCCTCTTCCCCTTCTCTGTTTCTCCCTCTCATTATCAAAATAGTTGAGCTTCTTGTGTTCTGTTCTCTTCTCTGTGTTTTTAGCATCAGGGCACAAAAATGGGGACTACTGTTACTACTTTCTGTGTCAATCTCTTTGTTATCCTCTTCCTCCTCTCCACCGCCACTGCAACCACCGTTGCTGTTGGGCAACACCATTATCACCGCCGTCTCCTCCACCAGCCCTTTTTTCCTCAAACTTCCCTTCCTCCTGTATATCAGCCTTCCTTTCCTCCCTCTTCCACCCCTCAGTCCCACTCTCCCCAGCAACCTAAATATCCCTTTTCTTTAACTCCTCCTTCCACCACCCAAACTCCTTTCTTTCCCTCCTTAGCCTCTCCTCCGCCTCCCCGTCCTCCATCTTCCCTCCCCACTTTTCCCGCCAACATATCCTCCCTTCTCCTCCCCCATTCCCCTTCTCCTTCTTCCCACCGCCACCTCCTCATCTCCCTCTCCGCATCCCTTCTTGCTGCTGCTCTCCTCCTCTCTCTGATAGCCCTCTTTGTCTTTCTCCGTAACCGCAAGCCCCGGGGGTCAGACAAGGCCTCACGGACGGACTCCCTTCGGTTGTTCCCCCCAAATACTGCTCCCTCTGATGCCTCCCAGAAACCACCCCCATCACCTCAGCAACCGCCGCGCTACGTGTCAACGAGCCGCAGCTCGGAGTTCCTCTACTTGGGTACCTTGGCGAATTCCCGAGCAGCGTTGGAGCCAGAAAATGCAATCCAATCGAAGAATGCGAGTATCAAGATCGGTGTATCGCCTTCACCGTATCAGAAACTTGGGTCTCCGGAGATAAAACCACTGCCACCTTTGCCACGAGTACAGACGTATCAAAGTGGAGAGCAGTTAACTCGGAGTGGGGAGGTGGGTGGCCATAATGACGATCGCGGTGAAGATGGGGATGAGGAATTCTTTTCACCTAGAGGTTCTTCAGGTCAGAAAGGGAGCCCGCCGGCGAGAATTGAATCTAGTTCGAGGAGAGAGCTTCAAGATGGGAATTTTGGGAGTCGAAGCTTCAATTCGAGAACCGCATCTTACCCTTATTCCAACTCATGCACCCCCGTAAATTCAACATCGGATTCGAGCCCTCAAAGCCAGAAATCAAAGTCACCTGATTCTGTTGGCGTTGTCAATTGTGCGGCGAGAACCAGAGCCGCATTATCGTCATCGTCATCAGCATCATCTAGAACATTATCATCTCCTTCAGAGAGAGGTTCCCCTGTTGGAGTTGCAAGTTTTCTAGGGCGGCAACCCCCACCAACAATTACACCTATAAAGCTGCCACCACCACCGCCTCCGCCGCCTCCTCCGCCGCGTTTTTGGGAGATTCCAGTTGACGAAAAGATACTCAGGGACCCAAATTCTGGGCCTCCGGTTCTTGTTGCACCTTCAGGGCCGGTGGTCTCGCAGAATTTCGCAGCCAGTGAGGAATTGAAGACCAAAGAGGGTTTGGAAAGAGGTGAGGAGAACCCAAAACCAAAATTGAAGCCTTTGCATTGGGATAAAGTTAGAGCAAGCTCCGATCGGGCTATGGTGTGGGATCAGATTAAAACTAGCTCTTTTCAGTGAGATACTTACCTTCCTGACATTTGCTTTGGTGTCTATTAATATTTCTATGGTTCCTCGATTAGTTTCTTTTAATAGATTTGAACTACTTTTCGTTTGCCTTTTACTTCATTTCTGTGTTGTTGGAAAGCTTATAGGATTGCCCTATTGCAGATTGAATGAGGAAATGATAGAGACACTCTTTATGGTAAGTAACTCAAATTTGGCATTAAAAGATAAGGGACTCTCACCTTCTAATCAGGAAAATCGAGTGCTTGATCCCAAAAAGTCTCAGAACATTTCAATTCTATTGAGGGCACTGAATGTGACCATTGATGAAGTCTGTGAAGGACTTATGGAAGGTAAGCATTTCAGTAATGTTATGGGGCATGAATGGCTGCTGTTATTCTTGGTTCAATGATTCTTACTAGAAATACTCATTTGATTGCTTAACGTGTCAATTTGGCATGTAACCTCATAACTTATGATTGTGGCACAACTTTGAAAACTATCTTGCTCTCAACATATCTGTCTATATTTGTGTGGTGTGACACGAGCACATTGTTTTTGGGTAATTGTGCCTGGATAAACTGGAAAAGAAAGCAATTGGCTGTTATGGCTTATGATTGCTTTAATGGATTTACAAAGTGGTTGCATGCATCTCCTTGTAAGTAGTGCGATTTCGAAAAGTAACTAGTTTTCACTAAATTGAATTGAAGTTTTTCTTTCTCCTCCTTTCTGATCCCATCGTCATCTTCCCTTTCCTCACTCTTTACTTGTGTTTTTGGCACCTCTAAAATGCATGTAGTTCTTTGTTGGTAACAGGTAATTCAGATATGCCGGGGACAGAGCTTCTGGAAAGTTTATTAAAGATGGCTCCAACCAAAGAGGAGGAGCGCAAACTGAAGGAATTCAAGGATGAATCGCCATTTAAGCTAGGTCCTGCTGAGAAATTTCTCAAAGCATTGCTTGACATACCATTTGCATTTAAGAGGATTGATGCAATGCTTTACATAGCCAATTTTGATTCTGAAGTCGAGTACCTAAGACGGTCTTTTGAAACTCTGGAGGTGACTCTCATTATCTAAGTTGGTATATTCAGTTTGTGTGGATTTCTTCATTGCTTGGAACAGAAAATTAGTTATTTGTTTGCATGTGGTGGGCTGTTATTCATACATCCTGCATGTTTTTCTAGAATAACTTTTTTTCTGTTCTTCTCTCATACATTATACTGCTGACAGAGTGATTGCGATTTGCTACCCATTTAGGGGCTGAAAATGAGTTCAGCATCACGATGCTTTTTTCATTGCCTATCAACATAGTTTTCTTCTTCCTGCCCCACCATGCTGGGTTTAAGTTGGCTGCTTTTTCTTTCTTGTATTTCCTTGAGATGAAGGATTCCTGTTTCTAGGATGCTGATATGGGTCATGTCCAACTGCTAAATAAACTTCCTCCTCTGTAGGCTGCCTGTCAAGAGCTGAAGAATAGCAGAATGTTCCTGAAGCTTTTGGAAGCAGTGCTCAAAACTGGGAACCGGATGAATGTTGGCACCAACCGTGGCGATGCCCATGCTTTCAAGCTGGACACACTTCTTAAGCTTGTTGATGTAAAGGGAACTGATGGAAAAACCACACTTCTGCATTTTGTTGTGCAGGAAATGATCAGATCTGAAGGCTCTCATGTTTCTGGTGCTGATCAGAATCTCAAAGTGGAGAAAAATCAGCAATCGGCTTTTCAGGATGATGTTGAATTTAGGAAGCTTGGCCTTCAGGTTGTTTCAGGTCTGAGTGGGGAGCTTTCCCATGTGAAGAAAGCAGCTGCTATGGATTCGGATGTTCTCAGCAGTGAAGTTGCCAAACTTGCCTCTGGAATCTCAAAAATTACACAAGTTATAAAATTAAATGAAGATATTCCACTTGAGGACAGTAGACACAGATTCTCCGAGTCAATGAATGACTTCCTGAAGAAGGCAGAGGAAGAGATTTCAAGAATCCAAGGTCAAGAGACAGTTGCTCTCTCTATGGTGAGGGAAATAACAGAGTATTTCCACGGCAATTCAGCCAAGGAAGAAGCTCATCGGTTTAGAATTTTCATGGTGGTAAGAGATTTTCTTTCTATTCTTGATAATGTTTGTAAGGATGTCGGAAAGATAAATGAACGGACGATATTCAGTTCTGTCCGTCCGATGCCAGTTATTCCAACAATGCCACTAGTTTTCCCTGGATTGGGCGGGAGGCATCATGACGGCTCCTTGGAGGAAGAAAGCTCACCTGTTTCCTAGTATCTGATCCTTCAACTCTGTCTACCCTGGATGCTTTCCAGAAACCGGCAGTACTCAATGCAAACATGCTCTGAAAGCATATACTGAATATAATTTCTTCTACCCTTTGTTGTTTGGATTTGTAGTTATGTTACAGGGTTTTGAAAGCTATTCTGCTGTGTAATATACAGGGATGGATAATGGATTTATATATGGTGTTGATAAGTGCGCGTATAGTAAGAAAAGTTTGGATCTATGTTGCAAATCTTAAGAAACCGAATTTAGTGATCAACTCTCATTTCTATGGAAATTTTAAAACAGGAATGCTCTTCTTCATAGCATTGCACTTGTGAATAAACTTTCAACTAAGGATCAATACATTTTTCATGGATATTCTGTCATACAAATTCCAACAGGATGTTAAAAGTTGGATCAAGTTTTGGAAATTTCAGCACAGATTGGTTTTCACTATTCATGCTTACCTCTGACCACATGAAAATCAGTTGATGGTTTTTCTATCGTCCTGCTATCAGCGTCCATGCGTTGAAGTTGGCAACCAGTGTGCAAGGATTGAGAGCACGCGATGAGTGTGCAATTTTCACATCATGCATAAAAAGATGCTCATTAAGTAGAAAATAGAGTTTGTAACATCATTACATTGTTTAGTTCGGGTGCTCACCTCGGTGGACCTTAACTCTGGCGTTGTTACATGACATGTGCTGCGACTCCCACATTTATCAGCTAGCTAGGTCCTCAAGTTGTGTATGCCAAACAGAACATTTGAGATGGAAGGAAATTGCTCATGTCCACCTGCATCAGCAAAAATTTTTTGGTATTACTCGCACAAAACGTTTGATAAAAAAACTGTTTT